CTGATTTATTTCATTCATGTTTTTAAAGGCTTATTTTTACCAAAGGAATACATGCACTTAACCTAAGAATAAGAATACAGAGGATCCCACAGGCGGTGGCGGTGCAGTCGCCCCGGCCACGCCCAGCCCGGGACCTGCTCACTGCACGCCACACACTCAGTCAGGGTTCTCAGCTTCAGATCACTGACCTCCTGTGGGATTCAAGGAGCTGGCTTTCCCTCCCCACCCATCCCCCAGCGAGGTCACATCCAGCTGGGCGTGATTCCTCAGAGCACTGAGGGGCTGTCACTGGGCTCAGCCTCTCCTTTCCCTGTTCTCCCAGGAGCTATCGCGGGAGCCCCCCTGCGTTTGGTTAGATCTCCTTGTGCCTGGGACCCCCTCTGCATCTTCACATGCTTGGCTGGGAGGACCTTCCCGGCCTCCTCCCGCCTGCACCCGAGTGGGGCCCCTCTGACCCTGGGATCGTCTTCCACACCGGCCTGGGAGCCCCCTCTCTACTGACTCCCAGTCCTTCCCTTTCCTGATCTGCTCCTTCCTTTTACTGGACAACACCTTCCTGGGAATGGGGACAGGAAAGGTCAATTTTTTTTAAAAATCTTCCACGGCTGAAAACTACCATTATTCTCCGTTCATGCTAGATAGATGGTTTACCTGGGCAGAGAATTCTAGGGCAGAAACATTTTGCTCAGAACTGATTGCGCTTTCTGGCTTCGAGTGTGGCTTCTGAGAAGCCTGCTGCTCCCTCAGTCCTGCCCCTTGTGCACGGCATGTCCCGGGGAGGGCGTCCCCAGGAGGGCTCGGGTCTCAGCAGTGCACGCAGCGCCTGCCCGCCTGCCCCGTCTCAGCCATGGCCTGGGAGGGGCTGGGCGCTCGCTGGGACCCTTTCACTCTGAAGACTCACTCCCTGCAATTCTGGGAAGTTATTGTTTCTGTAAATTTGCGCCTCCCCCCTCTTTCTCTCTCCCCCAGCTTCTTCCTCTGTCTCCTCTTGCCTGTTTCCTGGGAAATTTCCTCGGGTCGCTCCTTCCAGCCTTCATTGAACTTTTATTCCTCCTCTTTTTAAAAATGTGAAGAGCATTTCCTGGTCCTCCTAACTGTATCCTGCTCTCTCGTGAATGCAGGCTCCTCGTCCCTGTGGGGACGTAATCGTGCTGTTTTGTTTGCCCCTCTGCCTTCTCCCCAGCCTCTGTGTCCCCCGTGCCCCACCCTGTGTCGCCCGTGTCCCCTCTGCCACACGTGTCCCTCGTCAGCCAGACGTCCCAGATGTAGTACCTCAGTAACTACAAGTCTGTGAGTTCACCAAAACGATGTTTGAATTAGAAATTCTCTACACTTTAATTGAAGCATTTATTTGCTAGAATGAAAAGATTCCAGTTTTCGAAAGAAATTCCAGAGAGCTGAGTGAAAGCTGGAGTCGCCTGCCCTGGGTGGTCGCTGAAGCATGACCTCCCGGCTGAAAAGTCTGTCACTCAGCAGCCGTCGAGGAGCTAGTGATCCTTTTCAACTGAAAATTAATAATCTTGTTAAAATAGTAACCTAGAAAAAAGACTGAGGTACTGGAAAGCTTCCTGGATCCCCTCGGGGGTGGTGTGGGCCAGGGGCTCAGGGTCTGAGTGACCCCTCCTGGGAGCATAGAAGCCCCCCCATTGGCCTTTGCAGGGGGGCCCCGCCATGTAGGGTGCAGACTTGCCCCTGACCTGCTCCCATGGCCTCCCATTCCCCCCAGGTCCCCAGCAGAGGGTCCCCAGATGAGACCAGGAGTAGGACCAGGCAGGCAGGAGGTGGGGTGGGGGCGGCCTGAGCTCCCGCAGGCTCAGCAGTGCTACCCCTACACCTGGCTGGTCCCACGTTCCCACCTTGACTTAAGAGCCATCTGCATTCCATTTTTTTTGGTTCTGATTTTTTTTTATCGGAAGAGAAATATACACAACTTGGAATGGATTCGGAGCACATGGCGCCGCAGCAGATTCTCTTTAAGTGGCTAAAGCAGCTTCTAGAGCAAGTAGCGGTAAGAGAGGGTGTTTCTGGTGCAGGACCAGCAGGGCGCACTTCCCAGGAGGCGGGCGCCAGCTTTCCCGCGGCCCCAGGCAGAGCCGGACTAGCCGGGTGTCTGGGTGGCCGGAGAGGGCAGGGTGTGTCGTGGTGGGCTGGGGGCGGGACAGGAGAAGGCCCTCCGTGGCTCCGGGGACATGGCACTGGGCCTTTGGTCAGATCTGCTCTTCTCTGCTGCCGCTCGTGGCCCCACGGTGGGGCCTGGAAGTGGTCTCCACAGGGCTGGAAACTGCCAGCTCTGTCCTGGACGGTCACAGGAATCACGTTCCATCCCCAGGTTTGTCCTGGCGAGACGGTGGCCCAGATCCAGGGCAGCTGCTGGCAGGACCAGCCAGCCATGAGCCGTCCCCACTCCTAAGCCTCTGTCGTCCTCGCCCGGGTGAAAATGTGACTTGGGAATTGTTTTTCCGTTGGGGGGATCAGTGACTACCGGCCTGGAGTGCACGCTCCCCATCTTTCCCACTTCCAGCCTTAGGGCAGGAAGAGTGGTGTGCGTCACATGACATCTGCTGGCTCCAGGCTGCTTGGCCTCTGCTGCTTCCCCGTCCCCAAGTCAGACTCCCCGACCCCAGGCGTGTGGGGGCCCCCCAAAGGGACACGTGGGGGACGCATCTCTTGGGCGTCCCAGGAGGGCCCCAGCGTTTCCTGTCTTGCACATAGTTGGGGAGTTTGCAGTGGAGTGGGACACTCCCTCGGGATGGTGCCCGGGCCAGTCTCCCCAGGGCAGGAGCCTTGCTTCAGAGCCCAGTGTCCCCGGCCCCTGCTCCCCGGGCCCATCTCGGAATCGAGCATTTTCAGCCCTGAGACGCCCTGCTTGCTGCTTCCCCTGCGACGTGTGACCAGCGCGGCTGGGTACCAGGCGCAGCCCCCCGGGCCGAGCTCAGCCCACGGGGACAGCTGAATGGGGTCTGCTGAGGCTGGGGCGGCTGTGTGCGTGGATGCACGTTCCGGGACGGGCCTGCTGGGCCCTTTGGACATCAGCCGCCCCTGTCCCCGCGGAAGCTTCCCCAGAAGGGTCTGTTGGCACAGTCCTCCCTCCACCGGGCAAAATGGTGGGGAGGCCACCCGGCCCCTTCTCCTGTTGTGGCCGTTTCTTATTTCCACTGGAAATCGCTCTGGGGAGTGACGGCCTTTTCTCTGCTTTGCTTTGTGAGGATTAGACGTAAGTTTTCTCTGATCTTTTTACAAAATACGGACTTGGGACGGGCAGCAGACCCCCGTGCTCAAGCCCAGAGGGCGCCCTCTGTCGTCTCTGCACCAGTGAGGGTGCCCCGTCAGTCACAGGCCAGCTGCCGGCAGGGTTTCCTGGCTGAGCCCTGGCGCTCCCTGTCTCCAGGCTGGACTTCTCCTGGCCCGTCTCCTGGAGGCTGTGCGTTTCTGGGGGATGGTTCTCGTGGTCAGAGTGTCGTGTTTCAGTCCGCTGGTGTTCAAGTCCAGAAGGGGCACGGACCCTGGAGCAGGTGAACAGCGCTCCTGTGCCCTCAGGTCCTGCAGCGCCATGTGGTTGGCAGACGCAGCACAGATAACCGTCAGGAAAAGTCCCCAGCGGCCCCCAGCCGGGCTGCGCGTCGTGCACCTCCCTGTGCCTGGCGTTGGTTCCCAGGCGGAGGCGCCTGGGACGCCCAGTGGGGGGCGTGTGAGCCTGGTACTCGTAGGGTGCCCCCCCCCGCCGTGCTTTGTCAGCTCGGGCTTTGCGTGTCTGGTCCTGAGTGAAACCCAGAAAGAGCCGTTTTCATTGTTGCTTCCCACCTCTAAGGGCTCGTTTGTGGCTGATTGCAATTCCATACTCACAGAACTTACCTCCCTCTACTCTATTTAGGGAATCTCGTAGAGAAGAGAACAAAAATTCTCAAATAAATGATTCCTTAAAATTCCTGTGTGATTGCAAGGATTCCTGACTGAAAAGGGGTGATGACTCGGGGGGAATTCATTAATATCAGCCGTCAGGCGCTCCTTGGTCACAGCCTTTCGTTTCCATTCGTCCTTTCCTCCACTCAGTAACTCTGCTGAGCCCTCCTCCACGCCACCGCCACCGGCTGCCCCCCGCCCGGGGGAGGAGCGTGAGGACCCTAGAGGAGGCTCTGCGTGTGTCCAGGAAGGTGGCACAAAGGGGTTTTGTTTGAGCCTGACTGTGGGGATTTGGGGGGCATCCTGTCACTCGCACAGTGTGGGTGGGAGTGCCCGAGAGTGTCGGGGAAGGACCGGTGACTTCCTGGCGGTGCTTGGGGGCCGGCCTCGAGGCCTCTCCTGAAGGCAGGGAGGGGGGCGCAGGTGGGCGCCCTGGGCTCTGGTCAGCTTCCAGGGACACTTTTATCTGGGTTTGTGACCCACTTTCAGAGCTTTTGTTGGTTTTCTCTGAATATTTTCAATGTTCAAAATGAAAATTTTGACATGGTTAACGCCCACCCTGTTAGTGACAGGGACTGGGCCCCACCTGTCACTGGTGCCCTGGGCGGGGTGGCCCCCGCAATGCCAGCAGCAGGGCAGCAGGGACAGACTGGCTGGTTGGGCGGCACAAGCTGAGACCCAGAGATGAAGCCCCGATATTTCCCGCCCACGGATTTGGATGCAATTTCCAACCAGAGATGAGCTGGCGGGTTGCAGCGGTGACCCTGGGGTGGCTGCGGGCCTGGGAACCAGGTCAGGGAGGCCACCATCCTTCCTGTGCGGGGCACACCCGCAGGTCCACGCGCCTCCTCTAGTCCCGGCCTCTCCTCGGGCGCCATCGTGTGGCCAAGTGAGCGGACTGCGGCCCCAGGGCCATCCCCATCTGAGGCCCTGGTTGCACTTGGTTCTTTACCAGAGGCTGGGGGCAGTGTCAGGAGGTGGGAACAGGACAGCGCTATGACCTTAGTCACCACGCCGCCTGGGATCCCAGTGTCCCGTAACACCAGGTGTGCCACCTCAGGCCGGGGTTGGGACTCAGGACACGTCCTTTCTCTCCACAGTGTCCCCAACTCCTGCCCGGCCAGCCCTCGTGGGGCCGGGTCGTCTGGCTACCGCTTCGTCCAGAACGTGACCTCGGACCTGCAGCTGGCGGCGGAGTTCGCCGCAAAGGCCGCCTCGGAGCAGCAGGCCGACACGTCCGGAGGGGACAGCCCCAAGGTGTCAGCCCTCAGCGCGTTGGCTGGGTGACTGGGCGCGGGTGCTGCGTCTCTGCCCTCCTTCCCCATGTCCCCCCGGCCCCCATCCTGTCCCGTCCCGCCTCTTGAGAAGAATGGCAGGCTCTCTCCTTACAGCTTTGTCTTAACTCATTCCCTTCTGATAAGTTTTTAAATCGATTTATAGAGGAAATGAGAAATTTCAGAATTAAATCACAATGAAAACCTCAGAAACAGCTCTTCCTGGTTTGAAGCACATAGGCTAAACAGGCAGAGGTCTTGGCGATCGATTTACGTAGACACGCTGCGAGTATGTGTCCTCGCTGGGAGGGTCTCCTCCACAAGGAAGTGTGTGGGTGGACTGGATTGCCAGCATTTCTTCCCGCGCTAACTGTGTTGTCTGCGTCCGCAGGATGAGTCGAAGCCACCCTACTCCTACGCCCAGCTGATCGTGCAGGCCATCTCCTCGGCGCAGGACCGGCAGCTAACACTAAGCGGCATCTACGCGCACATCACCAAGCACTACCCGTACTACAGAACGGCTGACAAGGGCTGGCAGGTGCGCCTGGCCTGGGCTCCCCACTCCACGTCCACTTTGCTAGAACGAGCACAACCGGGGGGGGTACAGCCCTGAGAGCCCCCATCCTCTCCCCTCCCTTGGGGTCCACGCCCACTGCACGTGGCACCCCTGCGCTAATTTGGAAACACACTGCCCTTGCTGTTTATAGATGGTTTCTTTAAGTTCGTGAGACCCTTGCCAGCATTGGACATAACGCACACGCCACATGGACACGTCACACCTGTTTCCTCTGAGTTACTCTTTCCCGTCAGTGGCGGGTTCAGTACCAGTTCTGAGCCAGGCACCTCCTGGACCAGGGCTTGTCTTTCCATTTCGCTTTTCCTGTCAGGGGTGGTCGTGATCCTCTGCTGAATCACCGTAGGAACACCCACTGCACCTCCCTATGCCCTGAGTGAGGGCCCCTCGGGCAGGGACACCGGGCCTGCACCTCCTGCGGTCCCCTGGCTGCCACGCTCGGATCAGGCGAACGGGGCTCCAGCTTTGACTCGCGGTGACTGTGACTCTTTCTGCTTTGCCCACAGAATTCCATCCGCCACAACCTCTCTCTGAACCGCTACTTTATTAAGGTCCCTCGTTCCCAGGAGGAGCCTGGGAAGGGGTCTTTCTGGCGGATCGACCCTGCCTCAGAGGCCAAGCTGGTGGAGCAGGCGTTCCGGAAGCGGAGGCAGCGGGGCGTCTCCTGCTTTCGCACCCCCTTTGGGCCGCTGTCATCCAGGTAGCCCCGCTTCGCCCTGCCCCGCGGCCACATCCATAGCATCTTTGCACTTAAATCCCGTCACCTTTGCCTGAGACCCTGGCTCAGGACCAGTGAGCTCTGTGACAAGGACGTGAGCGGGGGGCTGCTGGCTGCCCCTCCACGTTAGCTCTCGGACGCGGAGACAGGAGTGGCAGGGGTACGGGGTGGGACAGAGAGGAGTGGACATGGACGGGGCCCTCGTACTTCCTCGTGACTCAGCTGCTCCGGGTCAGCCCTGGAGGCTTGGACCCCAGCCTGTGTCTCTGGGGGACACAGTTCAACGCAGACAGCAGCCACTGCTGCCTTTCCCTGGCAGACAAGCCCGCCGGCCAGCGGGGCCGTGACTGGGCTTGCTGCGCGGCCAGCGCCGCCCAGGAGACCCCCGTAAGAAGTGTCCGCAGGCGAAAGGGGCCCATCCTCAGGGTCACAGTGGTGGCCGGACCTGGTCTTGTGCCACACAGAGTATGCATGGGGGGGTCAGGAAGTAAGCCCTCGGCCAGGAGGAGAGTGCAGTGAAAATGGTGGTGTGCACTGTCTTAGGGACAGGAGGGGGCCGTCCTGGCTCCCAGAGGTGGCAGGGGGTGTGCTGAGGGCTGAGGTGTTTCGGAAACGGGACTAGTTTTGCAGAGTAAAGCCAGATGAGAGAGGACCTGACAGGAGTTTGAACCCTTGCGGGGAGAATTAGGTGCTCGTGGACACAAGGCCTGGAGAGGGGCCCGCTCACCACCGGTTTGAGCACCAGAGTCAGCAGGCAGGGCCTCTAGGCCTGAGTGGAGGGCAGACAGCGAGCCGAGGGGGTGGGAGACGAGGGGGCCACACTCAGGCCCGGGAGGGGTGGGGAGGGGAGGCGTCAGGTCTCTGCCTGGGGACTCGGCGGCGTCCTCCGCACGTGGCCGTTTCCAGCACTGACTGTCGGTGCTGAGCGCAGCCTCCCCACTCCGTCGGACACCCCTGCTCCCTGCCCCTCCCAGTCACGCTGCCTCGTGGTGTGTCACGTTGCTTGAAGGCCCCTCAGAACACCGCCAGGCTGGCAGGCGCGGGGTGGGGCCGGGCAGGGCGCTGTGTCATCCGTGCGGGACAAAGAGCTGAGCTCCCAGGGCACGCTTTCCTCTCAAGGGTGTCGATTTGTCCGGGGCAGGTTGGTACCCGTCCCTCCACCCCAAACCACTGTTTTTAACACCGAAGCCCAAGCCGCTCCCCGGGTGGCTGCTGGCCCCTTCGGGACTGGAGGCTCGGGCTCGCGCCCCGTGCTGGGGGTCGCGGGGGCTGTGAGTGCCGGGTGACGTCACGGCCCCGGGCGGCAGGCTGTCGCTGCAGGAGCATTAGTGCAGGAAGCCCCTTGCGAGGACAGAGCATCATTGGGAAAGGTGGGCAGAGTCTCCAGGGGGCGGGTGTGTCGCCGTCTGATGTCATGACAGGCACCATTCTCCTTTCTCGTCCTGTGTACTTACTGCCGGGGGCCTGTCTCTGCCCTTCTCTCAGGAGCGCTCCGGCCTCACCCACTCACCCGGGGCTGGTGTCACCTCGTTCCAGCGGCCTGCAGACTCCAGAGTGCCTGTCCCGGGAGGGCTCACCCATCCCACATGACCCTGACTTTGGGTCCAAGCTAGCCTCCGTTCCCGAGTATCGGTATTCCCAAAGCGCACCCGGTAAGAAGGGGTTTGTCCTCTTAACCTGTCACGGCAGAACTCAGAACCGAGCCCCAGAAGGGGGTGCCCGGAGTCCCCGCTGACCCCACGTCCTTGGCGGCCCCCCTCCCTCTCTGCAGGCTCTCCCGTCAGCGCCCAGCCGGTGATCATGGCCGTGCCTCCGCGGCCGCCCAGTCTGGTGGCCAAGCCTGTCGCCTACATGCCAGCATCCATCGTGACGGCGCAGCAGCCCTCGGGCCATGCGATCCACGTGGTGCAGCAGGCCCCCCCGGTCACCATGCTCAGGGTGGTCACCACATCTGCCAGCTCCGCCAACGGGTACATCCTCGCCAGTCAGGCCTCAGCGGGGGGCCCCCACGAAGCAGCAGGCACAGCTGTGCTGGACCTGGGCGGCGAGGCGAGAGGTAACTCAGGGTGCAGAGCCAGGTTGGGGGACGCAGGCCAGCTCCGGCGTACAGCGGCTCTCAGGCTGCTGCCTCTGCCCCCGTCGCTCCTTGTTCTGCGGGAAGTGCGCCCTTTAGAGCCACACAGTCACCCTCTGAATGCTCCCCAGGCTCACGGTGCCTCCAGGTGACCCTGAGCTAGGTGTGGGCCTGCCTCAGACGGTCCACAGGGGGCCTCCTCTACAGCCCCTGCAAGCGGCCCTTAAAAGTCACTCAGAGTGAAAAATACAGTTAGAAATTCCTGAATTAGAAGCCCAGATCCCAGGGAATTCATGGCATAAACACTGAAACCACAGCAGGACTGTCCCTGGCCCTCGAGGGAGCGCTTCTGAAATGAGCGGCGTCTTCCTGACCGCGGCCGGCCCATCTCAGCGGTGACGTCGTCTTTAACGTTGTCCTGATGACTCGTGCCTTGTGGTCAAAGAAGACTTGGTTGTGGCTGCAAATGCAGATCTTTTCCTCCGAAATTGTACACTTTATTTCTCAGATTACATTGGGGTCAGTCAAAGTTCAAGGTTTTACCTTGGTTCTGAAACTCTATTCATTGTTTTTCTCTTGTTCCACAACATATCTCCTCAGGGGAGGATTTCTTTTGAGAACCAGTGTTTTTCTCCCAGAGTCAGGGCTTCCGAAGTGCAGGCCACTCTCTGCAGGGACAGGCGCTCAGCAACCATGGGCTGAGCACAGGCGGAGGCAAGCGTGGCTCTGATGGCTATGTCCCCACAGGCCTGGAAGACAGACCCACCGTTGCATTTGCCACCGTCCCCGCTGCCGGCCGAGTGATCCAGACAGTGGCCAGCCAGATGGCCCCAGGGGTCCCCGGACACACGGTCACTATCCTGCAGCCAGCCACACCAGTGACCGTCGGGCAGCACCACCTCCCAGTCCGGGCCATCACGCAGAACGGCAAGCATGCCGTCCCCAGCAGCGGCTTAGCCGGCGGCGCGTACGGTGAGCCCAGCCCTCAGCTCTGTGGTCCCACCCGGGTCAGTGCAGGGTGAACATCCTTGCAGTCACTCCAGTCATCTGGTCAGTGCGCTGAGCACCCACTGCGTGCCAGGCCCTGGGATGCTGCCGAGGTAGCCCTGCAGCAATGAGCAGACTCCCCGGGTCACAGAGCTCACGCCCCACAGACAGGATGAGGGCTCGGGGGTGGAGTGAATTTATTAAAGTTACTAAAGCGTGAGCTGTTGAAGTGGGGAGTAGGGTGGGTGAGCTCCAGTTATCTGTCTGTGGTGCAGGGCAGGACTTGCCAGAGGCGAGGGCAGGAGCCACTGGGGTGTCCAGAGGGACCCACACACAGCAGCAGTGGCAAGAGGAGAACGCCGAGGACACTAGGGAGGTTGGGCGGCAGGGCTGGGGTCGGGGAGGGGCTGGCACCAAGGCGTGGCCGGCCGGCAGTAACTAGAGGTGCCAGGTGTGCGGGGAGCCGGCTCCGTGCCGCTTTCTAAGCCCTCGTGGGACAACGGCCTGTGTTCAGAAAGGCCGGGCCGGTCATGATCAGTTTCCAACACGCATCTCTTTTTCCTTCCACCCCAGCCCTCACCAGCCCTCTGCAGCTCCTCGCAGCCCAGGCCAGTTCATCCACTCCGGTGGTGGTCACACGGGTTTGCGAGGTGGGGCCCGACGAGCCGGCAGCAGCGGTAGCAGTAGCAGCCGCCACCCCTGCCACCCCCGCCCCTGCCGCCACCACGTCTGCCCCTTCCACTGGGGAGCCCGAGGTCAAGAGGTCCCGTGTGGAGGAGCCCGCCGGGACTGCGAGCACGCAGGCCGGGGTGATCACAGCCACCGGCCCGCAGGGGCCTGGAACCGGGGAGTGACGTCACTGGCGTGGAGGTGGAGTAGGACACGCGCCAAGAGGAGTTCTGGGGCTGGACCGAGGCGGCTGGCATCACCTCGCTTGGACCATGATGAGAAAGCCCCCTGCGGACCGCAGCTCGGTGCCAAACGGACAGTCTGCCTCCGCCCACCTGCACCCAGACCCCTCGTCCTCCTCAGCGTCTTGTCTCCTGCCCCTGCTCTGGTTAAAACAAAAACACATAAACACGTTCAGACCGCTGATTGTATGATTCTGGGAATTCTTTGTTTTCATTTCCCTCCCTCAGCACCACCTTTCTCCCCAGGCCTTCTATCCAGGGCGTGGGGAGAGGGGCGTAGCCCAGCGTCCCAGGAATGCATCTCGGCGCCCCGGCCGCCCGCCCTGCAGGAGCGGCCTCCGCCCCAAGGATGGGACGGACACGCGGCCTGGGCCAGACAGAGGCCCCCAAGGGAACGGACAGGCCTGGGATCCAGCCCTGTTTAAACGTGAGGGATCGGGAACAGGCCGAGGAGGGCAGAACTCCAGATCTGACTGTTCTGTGGTTTCTTCTTCCTACAAGTGACGCAGAAAGTTTTGGCATTACCCGGGCAGAGGGGAGGGTCTGGTTTGGCTTTGGACCCCACGTGCTTTTCTTTTGTGGAAATGTGGAATTCAGGCTGGATCATACATCGGAGACAGACACAGACGGGATCATCCGTTTCTGAGGTTTTCTTCTGCAGGTAGTTTAACACCTGTAGGTCTGGGTTCTTGCTGGCACTGGTCTCCACAAAGAGGAAGTCTGCCGCTCTGTCTGTTAACTTCAAGAAAGATCGACGGCCTCCTGGATTGGCGTTTGAGGCGGAAAGCTGTTGGATGAAAGGTCAGCCTGGAGCTGGCAGGCTGCGGCATCTGGCCACATCGGGGCCAAACCTTGACCACGGGGCAGCAGGTGCTCCAGGAGGAAGTAGGTCACCGACTCAACAGGGAGTCGATCACAGCCATGTCGCTCCCAAAACAGAAGGGCAAGCCCCTTTCCTGCTGGCGGACCGATGGGACCCACAGCCACACACAAGGTTCGTGTCACCAGGTTCCAGTGCACACCTCTGCCGGCTCAGGCTGGAACCATCTCTCCTGCCCACAGCACCGCAGGCTCTGGGCTCGGTCAGCAGCTCCACCCACTCGGTGGGTCCTACCTGCCCTGCGAGAGCCAGGGGTCCTGCTCAGACACCTCATGCCCCTTGGAAACGTGACCAGAGCAGGAGAGGAGCCTGCACTGCCCAGTGGATGGCCCCATCTGTGGTCGGGTGCAGTCCTTCAGCTCCTCTCAGAGAACATTCTCAGGAAGCGTTTAAGTACGTCCCTGTGAAAGATGACTTGGCTCGGCACCCAGTGTCAGTTCTTCCACCCAGAGCTGCAGAGGCCCCGTGGAAGCGGCTCCTCTCCTTACTAGCAGCCTGTCCTCAGCGTTGGTCTCCTGCCCACAGAGCTGCTGCGCGTCCCTGTGCTCCAACGGCAGCACCGCCCAGAGCACCAGGGCTGCCCTGAGTCCCCTGGGGGTGGGCACACGGCTCTCGGGGTGGGGACGCTGCAGCAGGGGCGGGTGTGAGGAGCTCCGCCTTGCTGTCATGGTTGTCCCCACGCACCCCCACCAGGGACGGGTAAGGAGCGTCCTCCTGGGCTGGGTAGGAAGTGCGTGCTCTGGTGTCTGCTGAGCCCCAGACCAGTCATTTCCGTGGCACTGAACTTCACCTGGGAAATAGGTCTTCTGTGACATCTGGTGAGGTTGCAGAGACAGGGAAGGGGACTTCGCTGGCCGCCGCGCCCACCCTGGTGGGGAGAGCATGCTCATTCCACTTGGACGTTTCCTGTTGTTTTTTGTAAACTTTGTCTTCTGTCTTGTCTGCTGTGTGTGTGGGTGAGAGTGAGAGAGCTGGACCGAGGCAGTGCCACGGTGCGCACTGACGCCCAGCAAGGGCCTCGCCTCTGCGGGTTTGCAGCGAGGGCTCTGGGGTTACCTGTTGCTTCTTTCCCCTTCACCGTCGCTCAGTCTTGGACCCACGCAGGTTCCCCCAGGGGGCTGTTGCTCATGGACCATCCTCAACGCCACAGACTTGCCTCCTTGGGGGAGCTGGCACCGTCCACGGAGAACAGACACCCAGGCCGGCTGGCCACAGAACACCTGGTCTGGTCAGCCTGGCTCTGACTTCTGAGATGGTTTGGTTTCTGCCCGTTGTCAGTGATGACCCCAGTGTGGATTGTGGGAGTGGAGGGGAGGGAGCTGGAGCTGGAGTGAGAGAGGACAGGGTGTCTGCTGGTGACATTCCACCAGGCGGGGAGCTTGTGCCTTCTGAGCTTCTGTGGAGAAGGAGGGACCCTGTGGGGTCAGCTCAGACTCGGTTGGGGGCAGGGAGAGGAGGGCCAGGCCTTGGGGCCTTGGGGTTCATTCTAGATTCAGGATAAGCTTCTAGGTGGGCTTCTGGTCATCTGACCAGATGGCCCGCCTGGCTCTTGCTAGCACTTGGCCTGGGACTGGCAGCCAGGACGCCCACGAGTGGCCAGCTCCCCAAGAAGATGCACATTGCCGCCAGAAAGATCTCAGAGCTGACCAGGGATAGTCCCCCCACCTGTCCACAGAAGCAGGAGTGCAGGCTGGAGTCCCCAGAGAAGCCTGCCCTCTGGGCCTGGCAGCCGCGACCCCACCTGCATGGGTTGTGGCCAGTGGGCCCACCCAGCTGAGGCTGGGAAATCAGGCCCAGAGCTGGTGTCACTGCAGCCTTGGGTCACCAGGGGCTGGCATCTGTGCTGAGAGATCGGCCAGGCGACGGCAGCTCTGCCTGGGCGGGGCCCTGGGGCCGTTGTCACAGCGGCTTCCTCACGGCCTGGTACCGGGGCCCACGTGTCTGCTGCTCCTGCTGCCTGGCCGCCCATCGCCTCTGCCTGCACCCAAACAGCAAAATGCTCTCTCTGCATAGGAGGGAACCACAAAAATCACTGCTTTCAAACAGCTGGGCGTTCCCCTCCAGACCGTCTGGTCTGCGTTAGACTTGGGAAGGGTTGTGCCTCACCACTTCCTCCTGGGCCGACAGTGGACACCACCGGTGTCCCACGGCTCGCGAGCACGCGGGGTGGACGCTAAAGGTCCATCGTCTGCTATCTGCTTTTTTCTTTCCGAAGCTCCCAGGCCACACAGACTCTGTCGAGGGCAGGGTCTGTAATCGGTGCTCAGATAGTCCACCCTGCTTCCCCTCTTTGTGGATCTGTAGAGGCTGGCAAAGTTAGTCGTGCTGGAATGGCCCGGGTCGCCGGCAGTTGTCCCAGGCGCGCCCACTTGGGGGCGGGTGTGCTCCGACAGCAGGTCCACCGTGCAGAGGGGTGGGGGCCCTCACTTTTCCTCCTGGGGTCTGGCTGGTTCATGTTTGGGGTCTGCTGTATGGGGGAGTTTTTTCCTCAACTTAAGAACCAAGCCGAATGGAAACAGGGAAAGTGAATGTCTGACTTTTGAGCCGGGAGGGAAAGGGTTTGGCGGAGCTGCGCCCAGGCTCCGGCCCCTCTGCTTACCTCATTGGTCCTGGCCAAAGACTTGTGTGGGTCACAAGCGGCGTTCAGCTCACGCTCTCATTCCCTCTGATCAGAGATCTGCGTGGAACGTCCGGAGGGAGCTGTCCACCCACCTCCACCAGTGTGTTGCGAGGTCTCTCTCTGTGGATAGAAATCCTTGGCAATTCTGAGTTCAGACAGAGGAGAAGGTTTTTTTGGGCTTTTTTTCCTTTGGTCAGTTTTTTATGGAGACAACAGACCTCATTTGAAAAAAAAGAATGAAAACTTAGCTGAACGTGGGGCGTGGCAGAGCTGTCAGTGTAGCAGATGCAGGTGAATGATCTGTTTTTCTCCAAAAGCCTCAAATTCTACCCAGCCCTGTAGCGACTTCGTCTAGGGTGAGGGACTGCACCGTCTCAAGGTATGGCCAGGGCGCGACCTCTGCCCCTTCAGCTCTGGGAGGAAGGGTCCCGCCCCCAGGAAAGGTGCACTTCGCTGCCTCTCGCTTCACTGCTGCGTTGACAGTGGGCTGCTTGTTCTGGAATAAGTGACCAGAAGTGGTTGTGAGACTCTGCAAGGAAAAAGGGCCAGAGTCGCTAACCCGAGGCTCCGTCCCCAGTGCCAGGTCCCCGATCCCCAGTGCAGCCGCGATGGGCCTCGGAGGCTCCCGGGGAGGCTGATGGTGGAAACGCTTCCCCGCAGCCGCTCAGGGCCGCCTTTGAGGCGCCTCCGCAGACAAGCGGCGCTGTTGAATGGGAATCAGGTTATTCAGGTGTGCTGCTGTGAAGGTAGGGTGGTCCCGGAGTCGGCAAGTGGCCTTTGAGGTGAGGGCTGAGCAAAGCCACAGCCGTGGTCCCTGACCCAGTTTATGTCACCGTCTTCAGATTGCTTTCCTGTGTCTTACAAACTCCTCATTTCGTGAGTTCCTTTCTCGAGGGCTGGTTTCCCACGTTAGGGTTTTAAACACGCTCAGGACCCGGGTCCGTTCGTGCTCCCGTGCCGCTGCCGTTCTTGCTGGGTTCCTGCAGGGCCTCTGCCCCTGCAGTGCCTTTTACCACCAGAGCTGCTGCCTCTGGTGTCCGAGGGCGGGTCTGGACCTGGTGCCGGCAGGGGTCCCTCGGGCATCACGCGGCCCCTGGGCGACACCTGGGCTGGTGCCGTGAGGCCCGGCCGCTCGGAAGATGGGCCTCTGGTGGCCACGAGCATTTGCTGTGACCTGAAGTTGAACATCTGGAGCGTCTCACTGGCCGTGTTGAGGGAAAGTAGTTGGGCTCTGTGAGGGGTCTCTCTACCCTCTCTCCTCCCAGGCATCGCAGGCCTGCTTGGGGCTTGTCTCTGCAGTGAGTTTGCCAGCCCAGGCTCAGGCCACGCAGCTCAGTTTTGCTGCTGCAGGGATGAGCTGCCTTCAGACCAGGTCCTGGGGAGGGTGCCCGTGGTGCTGCTCCCCAGGGGGTGAAAAGGTTCTTGGGGGCACAAGGCAGCCAAGCAGAGAAGAGAGTTCAGAACGGTTCGTTTTCTCTGGGTTTGACGAGCCTCACTGTGTCTCCATCACACCCGAGAGGACGTCTGCGCCTCCGCCTCCGCCCTGAGAAGCAGGCCTGGACCCGAACGTCAGCGCCCTGCTGCTGGGAGACCGGAGGCCCTGCCGCGGGCTAACCACTCCCAGGAGAGGGCAGCTCTGTCCCGCCGCCCCCGGGGCGGGCGTCTGGATTACCTTTTCACTCGGGACTGAAATGAAAGTGA